TTCCACAGGAAAATGGGAAAAGGCTTCAGTCCAAAGCAGACAAATAAAGCATGATTGTTCATAAACAGTCACTGGGGCTCTCCCATTTAGGACAAGGAAAACAACATTAGCATACAGGAGGGCAGGCTGGAAACATGAGTCTCAATACAACTTGATCCATGCTGTCATTTTATGATTTACACAAAAGATGGTGGTGTTATTTTATCTACTATCAATATACCTAACAACCATGAATTACTTGAGCTTCAAGAAATTATGTATTTTAAAAGACTTTCAAAACATCATAAACAGTCTCATGATGGATTAAAAATAATGTGTAAATCAGTTGTGAAAACTAAAGACATTATATCAACTTTCCCTTTATGATTGTCACCTGCTCATTAGAGACAGATCAAGTAAAAATGATAGAAATTAAGTGTTTTTGAAACCAATCAAAAGTTAAGCCATAGTGTTGTGTTGCTTCTAACTTTTGCCAAAACAGCCAAGTGGGGAATCAGGTGTAATAGCTGCAAGGTAATGGAGTGGAACATTGACTGTGATCGATTCTCACCTAATGCGATGTTACAGGCCCACAGTGTCATTCCTGCTCTTTCAATCTTGTTTTAAAACATGAATAGCCTCCCAAATGTACCTTTTGTTATAGTTTGCTTTAATTTTTCTATTTAACATATTTATCCTTCTCTCTCATCTATTTTTCATGCTTCATTTTGTGAAATGAGTTGTCTCACCTTTATCTTCACTACCTCCCCACCACCTAGGAACTCGGGTCCGTCCCTTCCAACTTGAACTGCTCTCTCTGCTCTAATGAGACTATTTGCTTTATGATCAATAACATTTCCCTTTGGGAAACTCCAAAGATTTCTGCTCATTTTTTCCTTGATTTTTGTTGTGTATTCAGCTTCTGGCATTGTTGGAGATACAAGATAAACTACACAAAGACTACAACTTCGTCTGCTTTTAAGGAGGTTAGTAACTTCAAAAAACAGTCACATAGCAGATACATATATATTGTCAGTCACACTGATATTATCTGTGGGCAATGGCCAATGTTCTAGCTCCTCTACTACCAATGTACCTCCCTGTGTTGTCCATAGAAGACTTCTCATGTGGTTGGGTCCCCACCACCAATATGGGAGACCAGGATGAGTTCCATGCTCATGGCTTCAACCTAGCCTAACTCTGGCATGGAGATCAACTGCAGAAATCACCAATAGATGGGAGATCTCTCTCTTTCTCCACCTCTCTTTCTCTCCCCAGTAATTCTATCTTTCAAATAAACAATTCATAAAATAAATTAGAGTATCAAATGGAAGAATATATCAAAGAAATTGTGAGTTTATTGTCAATAGTCTGGCAGACGCAGAAAAAGAAAAAGACAATGTGAAAGTTAGCCATGGGATATAAAAAAAAAAGAGAATAAATTAATGCAAATTTATTTGCAGATCAGTGTATATATAATATAATAGCTAAATAAATCAAGACAGAATCTAATGATCATTTTAGCCCTCAAGGATCTTAAGAGTTAATGGCCCAAACATGAATTATTCAGACTCTTTTTTTCTTTTTTCAAAATGATTATGCTCTCATGTTAGAAATGATCATCTTAACAGAAACTGGTAAAATACAAATAAATGCCTTTAAATATGGAAGAAATTAAAGAAAGCAACAATTAAACATGTAACAGTTCTAGCCAGTTCTTAAGCTTAAAGCACTCATGTATTCAACTTCAATATCCCACAAAATAACCCCAGCTAACTCAAGGGACAATATACAGTCAGCTATACTTGTAATAGCAAATAACCAAAACAGTAACCTTTATTCAAACCCAACTCAGTCATTTGAAATTTGGAATAATGATAAAAACTTGGCTATCACTTCTTGCACTTTTGGCAATTTTATCTTCTGCCAAATGGATAACTCTGATTTCCATGGTCTATTTCCAAAGTGATATTAAAAATAATGCACAGCCTCCATAGCTATCAGGGAAATGAAAATATAAACCATGTTGAAATTTCAACTACTAATCACATCTGCTAGTGTGAATTTGGGGAGAAAAGTTACCCTACTTCACTTTCATTGTTTGTGGCATTACACACTGGTACAACCACTATGTAAGTAAAAATGGAGAGTGCAAAGACAACAAAAATCAATCTACTAAATAACCCAACTATTCCAATTCTGGGAATATAGCCAAAGAAAATAATATCTGCATATGAGAAAGTGACCTATATTATAGCCGCATTGTTCACATTAGTGAAGAAATGGAAACAATCTAAATGCCAGTTGTGAAAGAAGAATGGAAAAAGGAAATGTGCCTGTCTACTCTATAGTATATTACTCAGCCATTAAAAAGAAGGAAATTGGGCCCAGTGGCGTGGCCTAATGGCGAAAGTCTTTGCCTTGAACGCCCCAGGATCCCATATGGGCACGGTTCTAATCCCTGCAGCTCCACTTCCCAAAGCTTTGGGACCCTGCACCTGTGTGGGAGACCTAGAAGAGGCTCCTGGCTTCGGATCGGCACAGCATTGGCCATTGCGCTCACTTGGGGAGTGAATCATTGGACGGAAGATCTTCCTCTCTGTCTCTCCTCCTCTCTGTATATGTGACTTTCCAATAAATAAATAAATCTTTAAAAAAAAAGAAGGAACTTTTACCATTTGTAACTAGATATCCATTCCTAAATAATAACCATCAGTCTCAATGAAATAAATCAATCGTTAAAAGACAAATAACATATGTTCCCTCTGTTGTAAATAAACATGCATGAAAAAAAATTAGATCAATAGATATGTTGGTGAACATGTAATATATATTCATCTAAGGGTAATTTATAATGGAATCTAAACTATGAAAAAATTCAAGATACATTGCAGTATGCATGTCTACTTCTGAATAAAATATGGACTACCAATAAAACTGTTAAATATATGCTGACAATAGGATGTTGGGCTTTCACCTTTGCCTATACCTACAATGTCATAGCACATTTAAATGGTAAAAATGATGGACTTGTGACTGTTGTTGGAGGATTATACTAGTGTGATAATAGAGGCAAAATCAGTGGGGCCTGGGAGAGGGAGGGAGGGGGACCCCTGAGTCTAAGGATCTGTATAATAAAAAACATAAACATTTTTAAAATAAGAATTCTCTAAGATTGGCAACATTTTCTCTTTCCTGAACTTCCAAAAGCATTGTTATCCTAAATTAATAATTAGTGAATTTTTATTCTACTGCAATTAAAAGAACTGTATCATATGCAAGTATTTTCCCAGGCAACTGAAAAACAGAGACCCCATTAAGGTGTATCTATTCAACTGTATTTGAGGAGAATGACAGGAACTATTTATTCATTAGTCATAATTGGATTAGCCCTATAAGTGAGATGATGTCTCTAATGTTGGGATTCAATAAGGAATCCAAGAGCATGTCACTGCTGGCCAAGTGAATGCTCTCTGAGTAGTCATATCTTTACATTTATATGGAGAACCCTGTGGTTGCACAGAAACTTGGGAAAAATCATAATACAATTAAATATAGGTATTGCAATGGAGGAACCAGTTAACAAAGAAGTGATAATGTCAGTTACACAAAATCAGAAAAAAAAATTTAAATATGCCTGCAGCTGAACAGAGTCGATTACACTTCTTTTCCTAGTTAAGTACTGAACTTGAAGCCAAAAGCTCTTCTTGAAGCTATAATCCTAAAATGCACTTGTCACATATAAATAACATACTGCAGTGTTTAAAAAAAATGCTTTCTATAAGCAATTTAAGATACTCACAAGGTAAGAACTCGAAACTGAATTGAGAAGGCTATTTATAGTAAAATTGTCAAAAAAGAAAGTATTTCCTTTGAAACTTAAAGTGACTCCCAACTTTTCTTAAGAGTGAAGAAAAATACTGAATTCACTTGCAAATGCTCTTTAATCAGCATATTTGCATTTTCAAAAATAATGCAGTTTAAAATTTCAAAACTCTGATAAAGAAAATTGAGATTCACTTAGTATATTTTAAAAATATAGAATTAAATGAATGAGGATGCTAAAATATCTTACAATTGTTTAGAAAAATTTCTTGTGGTATAATGTGAAATCTGCACTTAAATAACAAATATGATTGGAAGTAAAATTTTAGTAATTTAGTAATTGAGCCTGATTTTTGCAGAAGTTATCCCATATATCTATACTCAGAGGTGTAATCAAATACCTCTTATTAAAACTTCAGCAGAATGCACATAAATTGGAAGCTTTTTAAAAACTGGTAAATTACATCAAGTTAGATCTAGAGTGTTACTATATTAAAATGATCTTAATTTTCAAATATTATTTATATAATCTATATTTGAATTCCATGCTCAAAGATTGCATAAAATATTCTATCAGATTACTATTTATAATTATGAATGTCAAAAGTAATTTTTTTGAGAAGTGAAATTAGTTTACATATATTCTACTAGTGAATCACTTTGTAATGAAAAACATTGAACTCATGACCCATTTGATTCCCATCACTTTCAGGCACGCCACATTCCCAAATTATGTCTCATTTGATGCCCTATAAAAATGCAGATTTGATTTCTCTTATTCTGAAAATGATTCCCCATACACCATTAAAACTTGTGCATGTTTGGATGATTCTTTAATATTTTTAGGTTTTCTAAAGAGAACTAAGTTCAGAAATAAGTATCTTTTACCAGTCTGATGATATAAGTAACGTCTGATTAGGTCTACTCCACTTTTAGGTAGAAATATCTTACAAGGGAGGAAAAAAAAATAAAATTCACAGCTGGAAACCTTTCCAGAAACTTCACTGGATGACAAAGTGAAAACTAATCTTGCACAGACACTTAATGAAGACATGGTTCAGGGAATTTTCTGTTTGAGATCATTTGCCCATCCACCCGGAAGAAGAAAAAAAAAACAGCATATTTCCACCACAAAAGCCTGAAATCAAAGGATGAAGACGACATTTGCAAACCTTAATTGTCATTAAATCACTTACAGTGGTTTTCCTTTAGACTCACAAGTCAAAATTAAAGGCTGCCCTTCTTGTGGAAAAGGAGTGGATGGTATAATCTTGACTGATGGTGTATCTAGAAATAAGATTAAGAAAAGTCATTAAACATATGTAATATTCAACTCTATGTTTAACAGTTTTACATCATCATTTTCACTTATCAACATAGGCACAAGGAATTTCTTGTATTTGATGGAGTAAAGATCATATTTCAAAGTTATCATGCTGCCCATGCAAAGCTGGCAAAAATATCTGAAAATCGTATGATCACAACTGTACTATTCTTTCTGAAATCTAAATTTAAAAGTGAGATTCCAAAAAGTGTTTCGGATGAATATCAAGAATTTCTTACAATTGTTTCTTAAACTATTTATAGATGGTTATGAATACTATTATTATGGACTGAATACATTCATATGCATTTGAATAACAACACTTTCATTGTGGCAGGAATATCAGAGACTCACAATAAAGAACCCACAATGAATTCAAGGCATTATGCACAATCTTTGAAAATGCAGTACTGCAGCACTGAGCACATACTGCCTGCTCTATAGTACAGTTAGCAAAACACTTTAGAAAGCTCTTTTCAGTATTCCTAAGCCCCAATGTAGAGTTTCAGCTGCCACTGCATAACTATGAGGGAAGTATTTATTTTGTTTAATATGAAATGATCACCAGTGGAAGAGGTTTTGAGTAAACTGTAGGACATTTATATTAACTATTCACATGTCATGTTATAATTTTTATTTGAAACAAAAAGTTATTTTACAAATAAATAGAAAATATGCTTTAGAAAATCACAAAAAGGAGCAATTCTGAGACATCCACAGCCTACTTTGTGCTGCTCATGGTCAACAGATTTGTATTTTCATATCATCACGTGTCTTAAAATACACAAAAACAGGCTCTCAATGCTTCAGAAATCCACATTGCTTACACTCTTTCAATGATCTGAAGAGAAAAACTGAACTGGTATGGTATACTGTGCATCCACCCAACACAATGGGAAAAAATTAATTAACCCTGTGACTATCACATTAGCTATATAAGGAAAGTAGAATTTAGAAGTGTCATATGGAGAACAAACTATGATCTACTGAAAGATATATATCCGTCTAAACTTACTCATGCTTTCCAATGCATTTTTATCAACATAAATTAAAAATATAAAACATAAAAATTTCTGGTTAAAAACAGGTTATATACCATGCTGTATACCATGCCATATATACTAGACTGCATAATGATAGTGTGAAATAACAGGAAAATAATCTAAAGAAATGTCGCATAAATTCATCATACCTTTTAACTGACAGAATAAAATACTTAAACAGGCATTAAATAAACCATAGCGATAACCACACGTATGAAATCTTTTTTTGACAAGAACAGCTGTGTAAATTAGTATCTAGTAGATTTTTAAAAGTGAAGGGCAAATAAATAAATAAATAAATAAATAAATAAAAGTGAAGGGCAAATATTAATTATGTGAGATAATAGGAATGAACAAGAATTGTACCGATCAACGGGGATCTGTGTTTTCCAGACCTTCATCCAAAACAAATCTAACAAAAGCATTTCTCCCTTGACATATTATTCCACAGAACCTTTATTTTCAGGGGGAAAGGAGTGAGAAAACTGAGTAATTTGTTTATCTGTGATGACTGATCAACATCATGTACCATGTTGACTATGCTCTGGGGTACCAGGCTATTTGGTGACACATCATTCAGGGTGATTCGGAGAGGGCATTTTGAGGCAAGAATGTTTCACTAGTAAAGTGAGTAAGGCAAATGTGTGGGAGCTTCATTCTGTTAGCAGGGATCTAAAAAGAATGCTTGACCTTTTCCTGTGATGGAGAGAAATCTTCCCAGAGGGTAACTTTTTACACTGAAGATTGGCTTTCTTCCTGCCTTTGAACTCCAGTGGTGTTCCTGGTTGTACAGCCCCCTGGACTGGAAATACACCATCAACATTACTCTCAGGACCTCAATCGTACTCTGAAAATTTACTTGACTCGCTTGGATCATCGTCTTCCTTACTGTACTTGCACATCTTGGAACTTGCCAGTTTCATGTGGACAATTCCTTACTACAAATCTATTTGTGCCTCTGAGGATATTTAAAAAGCCTGAGGAAACGTTAAGCATTTATTTTGGTGCAAAATAATTCAAATCCATGCAGAGTTTTCTCACAATTGGCATTTTCCATGAGCATTTTGAAGACTTCCTCAGGCAGAAACCATGGGAGAAGCCATTTATGGAGGGAAGGGATTTTTGTCTGTAAACAATGGAATGTGAAAAGAGAAGTGAAGGAGTTAACCATGGCAGATAGGACCTGCTTTCTGGAGTTCAGTGCGCCCTGGTGTATCCAGCAAGGTGGTCCTACCTCAAGGCTACGCTACTTCAGGGGCAAGGGGTATGCTTATTTATCATTTCTTTTCTAATTATTTTTTAGAGTCTGATAACTGTTGTAGTGTGATGAGTTACACTGCCACATGGGATGTACTAACTGCTCTTCTTGAAATCCATCTCCCTGCTAACTTGCCTGGGAACGGCAATGGATCATTATGCCAAAGTGTTGGCCCTTACACCCACATGGGAGACAGAGGAAGTTCCTGAACCTGGCTTGGGTTTAGCCAAGCCAGGGCTTATGAGGATATTTGAGAAAGAAACTGTTTGATGAAAGATATCTCTGTCTCATCTTCTCTGGTTTTCTCTCTAATTCCACAGAAATCTTTAAACAGAAGATAAAAGGAAAGGAAAGAAAGGAAAGGAAAGGAAAGGAAAGGAAAGGAAAGGAAAGGAAAGGAAAGGAAAGGAAAGGAAAGGAAAGGAAAGGAAAGGAAAGGAAAGGAAAGGAAAGGAAAGGAAAGGAAAGGAAAGGAAAGGAAAGGAAAGGAAAGGAAAGGAAAGGAAAGGAAAGGAAAGGAAAGGAAAGGAACGAAACTACTTTGAGGGTCGGCATTAATTACGGATACATGGCTTCTACTCAATATACAAAATGGCTTTTGCCAAAGGTAGATGAAAGCTTGCCAGCAATACCTGTTCCCCTAAGGGAAATGAAACAGCAGGTAGGCACTATTTAAAGCAGAAAGAGGAAATCAGAATAGAGTCTTATGTTTCTTCACTTTGTTTAAGTTAACTATTTTATTAGAGGTGAGAATTCATGTATCAAATGATCCCTCGAAGCACGCTTCATTATTCCCTTTAAATTCAACACACAGAATCTTAACGGCAAGTGCCAAAGCAGTTATTGTACGTCGAACAGATGCGCATGAAACTCTGAGGAATAACTCAAGCATTTTTTTCCAAGTTACCAAAAAACAAAACTAAGGACTATGATACAATATTCCTGTATTTGACTTCAAAATTACAAAGAGGCTGATAGATTTCATCTTCTGAAGAATTGAATCCTCAAGTAAATAAGGAAACCAAATAAAAATGCAATTCAGGTTAACATTTTTAAAAGTGAATCATCTTCCTTGAATTTCTTTATCAAATTATTTTGCTTCCATTCTCAAAATTGTGGACTTCTAGTTCAACTTTAAGAGCTCTTACCCTTTCTCCACTTAACCTTTAAATGTTTAAGATCATGAAGAATGAGATTTCATGCAACTAATGGTTTCTTCTCACTTAATTTTGTCTAGGGCAGTTTAACCAAATCCACATCTGTAATTCTATTTTACAGACCAACGATATACAGATTTATAATCTAGAGAAGCTATTTATTTTTTGAAGATTTTTTTAACATATCTACCTGGTGTCTAAAAGACTAGGCATTTGTGGTATGAACAAAATGAACTAGAATCTCTTGTCTTTCTGTGACACATTTCCGCATCTCTATTGTGACAGATACCACCGGCTTTCATCCAGACATATAAACCACATAGACTCTGTTCCTTTATCTTTTCTATAATCAAGAATGTCAGCATAAATTCTGCAATATACCTTGTGAATAATGTTCAAGGACAAGTATTTAATGTTTTATACTTCACTATCACTTATTATATTCAGTTTAGCTAAAATGAAAAATGGTCTCATGTGCATATTTTACCCCCTTATGTCTAATTCTTGAAAAAAAAAACTGTCTTCTTAAAACATAAACCCAAACATAATGATTAAAATGCTTTGGTTATGGATTTGACGCAGCAGCCTAGTGGCTAACTTCCTTGCCTTACGTGTGTTGGTATCCTGTATGGGCACCAGTTGAGGTTCCAGATGCCCCACTTCTTTTCCAGCTCCCTGCCTGTGGCCTGGGAAAGCAGTCCAGGATAGTCCAAAGCCTTGGGACCCTGTACCAGCATGGGAGACCAGGAGAAGCACCTGGCTTCTGATCAGTTCAGCTCCAGCCACTTTGGGCACTTGGGAAGTGAACCAGCAGATGGAAGACCTTTCGCTCTGTCTCTCCTTCTCTCTGCAAATCTGATTTTCCAATTTAAAAAGAAATGAAATAAGCAAATCTTTTGAAAATTTGGTTAATCTTAATTATTCTGATTTAAAGCAAAATAAGTTATTTAGTCTTATATACTGTGTCCTATTTATTTGTTTGCTTGTTTACTTTTGCCTTAGAACATTGCATTTTATAAATCCTTTGAATTGCAGAATGAAGATGGTACATCTTGTTTTGATACCCTCAATTTTTCGAGATAGTTTTGCTGCATATCTTCTCTCCTCCATGTGTTCTTTTTAAGTTAATGCTATATTCTCAACGCTTGCATATCCATTGAATTATACATCTTCTCTGCTTACTAATAATTATTAAATCAGTGAAGATAATAAGATGTCTTATCATCTTGTAAACATTTGGAACACGATGCTGAAGATTGTAAACACTTAATTGAGATTTATAGGTACCTGCTGAAAGTATAATTGGTCTCAACTCTCCTTGGCCTAAATCTCAGAATAACTTTTAATACAATCTCACATTTAATTTAATTAAATTTACATTGCATACATTTTGCTGTTATGAATTTTCAGCAGCTTAAAAATTTAACTGAACTTGAACTGTGGTTATGCAACAAGGTGGAGGAATCCACCATGGGGGGAGGGGTATGGGAGGGGTGGGGGGAATC